TGAACCCCTATGATTCAGATGTTGGAATATTTAAAATTGTCCCGGAGGTTCCTAAGCCTCTCCTCATTTTTTCAAATTCTTGTTTCTTCATTCTGTTCCGGTTGAATGTTTATTTCTTCCTTCTGGTCCATACCATTGATTTGAGTCCCAATTTCCTTCCTGTCACTGTTCGTTCCCTGTACATTTTTATTTTTACACTTTGCATAGCCTTCATTTTTTCATCTAATTTGCGACCATATTCAACTAATTCTGTGAGCATCCGGATCACAGTGTTTTGAACTGTGCATCTGATAGGTTGGCTCTTGCTTCTTCGCTTAGTTGCATTTTTCCTGGAGCTTTGATCTGTTTGTTCAGTTGGGCATTTTTTTGTTTTAAAGGAAGAACTTTCTTTTTCTTTTTTGTTTTTAAATATTTTATTTATTTATCTTTAGAGGAGAAGGAGAGAGGGAGAGAAACATCAATGTATGGTTGCCTCTAGTGCATCTCCCGCTGGGAACTGGCCTGCAGGGAGCTGGCCTGCAACCCAGGCATGTACCCTGACTGGGAATCGAACCGTAATCCTCTTGTTCACAGGCCTGCGGTCAATCCACTGAGCTACACCAGCCAGAGCTGGGTCCTTTTGTTTTTTGTCTTGTCCCACGTGTTACATAGTAAGGGGTGGAGCCTTATGTATTCACCAGGGCGGGGCAACCCACTTCGCTGGGTTGTGACACTGTATGTGGGGGAGGGTCCGAGAGGGAACAGTGGCACTTGCTCCTCTCTCTGCTGGTTTTCAGTCACTTCCCCCACTACCTACAAGCAAACTGGGCCCTTCTGGTGCTGATTCCCCGGTGGGTGGGCTTGTGTGCATTCTAGGACCCTGTGAGTCTCTCCAGCCAACGCTCCTGTGAGGCTGGGAGTTTCTCCCGCTGCCACCTCATCCCCCCACAGGTGTTTCTGGTCAGAGGTTTGAGGCTTTATTTTTCCATGCTGGGACCCCAGGTTGCGAGGTCTGCTCGCTCCCTAGTTGTTCCTCCTGGTTTATCTGCATGTGAATGTGAGACCTTCTGGTCCACCAGCCGCTGCCTTGCTGAGTCACCAGCTACTGCCCTTCCCACCCTGGTGCTCCAGCCACTGCCTTGCCGCGAGTCCTCTCTGCCCGGCGGCCTGTCTCCACCCCTCCTACCCATCTGGGTGAGTATTTCTTCTTTAAGTCCTTGGTTGTCGGATGTCCGCACAGTTCAATTTTCTGTCAGTTCTGGTTGTTTTCTGTTTTTAAATTTGCTGTTGTATTTGCTTGGTTGTGCGAGGAGACACGGTGTATCTACCTAGGCCTCCATCTTGGCCAAAAGTCTTTAAAAAATTCTTTTCTTAAACAGGTCTCCTCAAATTGAATAAACTCCAGGTCCCACCACACCCGGACCCCACATTGAGTTTGAAACTTGTGTTGTAAATATTTTATTCCAGTTTGTAACTTGTCTTTCAATTTTCTATACGGCTTTTTTCTCCACTGTGCAGAGGTTTTAAATTTCATGTAGTCTAATGTAATCATACCTTCTTTTCAACATCTCTGGTTTTTTTTTGTCTTGCTGAGAAAGTCTTTGATTTCTTTTAGAACGTCCAATTTTTCCTTTATATGTTTAAATATTTGATTCATTTGGAACTAATTTTTGTATAAGAATATTATAAAACTTCATCAGTTTTCTGACCGTCATTTATAGAATAATCAATCTTTTCTATTGATTAGAAGTGCCACCTTATAATATATTAAACTCTCATAGTAATTTGATCTATGTATCCAAGTCTGTTTTATTGATCTCTTTGTTCATACACCACGACCAAACAATTTTATTTGTATACTTAGAATGTGTTTTTATGTCTGGTGAGGTCAGCATCCTTCCTTCACATATTTTTACCCCGAACAGCTTCCAGGCTGTACTTTCTGGGTCCACACGAAGGTCGGAACCAGTGCCTGGGTCTGAGAGGTCCTGCTTCCGCATTTGCCGTGGTCACAGCCAACTGTGCGGCTGGTCTGGGGACAGTCCCGTGAGGTCGGGCCTCACACCCAAGTGTCAGTGTGCTTTTCTCTCTGTTCGACGTTCCCTTTGCCCCTCAGTGCTCTTCGTGTGCATCCTGCAGGTTTCTGGTTCAGATCATCCTTACAGATATTTCTCTGTTTTATGCGATGATAAGTGGGGTTTTACCCCCTCCCATTGCAGTTTCTGATTGGCTGTTCTTCTTGTAGAGGAAAGCTATTGAGTCTTATATATTGTTACAGGCAGTAACATACAAGTTATTTTCACCAACGGATTCTCCTGTTCTAGCTTGTCCCGCTCTGTTCCGGAACCTGCGTAGAACCCTCCTCGTCCCAGTCCGCCCCACCCGGTTCTGGTCTCACCTGTAGCAGTTTTGTGGTTTGCCCGGGTTTTCCCCTTTGGCCGTCAGACCATCTCCAGCGCTGCCTGCCTGTCACCCCCGGTGCCCCCGCTCTGTGTGGATGGGGCGCTGTGTCTAACCTCACAAAGCCCAGGTGAGGTTTGCCCACGGGGAGGCCCCTAGCCCAGCGCGGAGCCGGAAAGTGCTCGTGTGCACACTGCCTGCACGTGCTCCCTAGAAGGGTCCAGGTGCCCACACCGCACACGGGCTGCGGACAGGGCCAGCCGCTCCGATTTCAGTGCCAGGCGGCCCTGTGGTTGGTTAGTGCCGCAGCCCCAGCATTAGCTCTCTGGCCACAGCTGACTTCCGCAGCCTGAGGGCTGTGCCCTCGGAACCACGTGCCGATCGTGGGACTGCGCTTTCTCGGACAGCCCTTTCTGCCACCACAGGACACCCAGGAAACTGCGTGGCCGTTAGCAACTCTGCAGACATCTGGCACACACACCTACACTTCTGGGAGCCTCTGGCGGCCTGGCGGGCCCAGCGAATAGAGGGGCTCCTGTGTGGTCTGTTTCCAGCCAGAGCCAGGGGCGGGGAGCAGTGGGTGGTTCAGTCCTTTGATTCTTCAGGGCGGTGGGTCTCGGGCAGGCAGTGGTTGTCAGAACCGGGCGATTCCTCTGCGGTGTCACCCAGGTCCCCGCTCCTGGCTGCGGCGGACGGCTTCCTTTGCATCCCTGGTCACCTCCGAGCAGGCCCATGAAAGTCTCTGCTTTCTCGCACTGCAACTACCTCACGTGCAAACCTTACCTGGGCTTTGAGAGGTTAGAATCTGGCGCCGAGGGACAGAGTCTCTGCCTGCCCTTGGGGACCAGACGTGGCTCTGGACGGGGACGCTTCCTCCCTGGGCCTCAGCCCACCCAGGCCTGACCCGTCACGGCAGCGTGTCCCTCCTAGGTGGGCGCAGTCCACGAGGGAAGGGGGGCCCTGTTGGAAGCAGGTGGGACCCTTCTGTAGATGAGGGGACAGACCGACCCGCTCAGGCCCACACACGGTCAGGGCTGAGTGGGACGCTCAGTTCAGGCTTTGTTCACCAGCCTTTGCTTTTTCTTCTTTGTCAACTGATGGGGTTCGTATAACAGAAAATTAGCCACTTCATCTGGGCGCCACTCAGTGGCATTGGGCACACGCACGATGTTGTACAAGTGCCACCTTGAAACCCTGTCCCCACGCGCAGTCACATCCCACTCTGTCCCTCCACCCACCCCTACAGCCCATGGCCATCACCACCTTGCTTCCTGGTCTGTGGCCTGGCCTGTTCCGGCTGTGCCCTGTAGAGGGCGTCACGGGGTGCGTGCGTCCTGTGCTTGCCGTCTCTCACTCAGCAACACATTTTCAAGGTTCTGTCACATTGTAGCACGTCAGGATTCCGTTCCTTTTCACGGCTGAATCGTGTTCTGCTGCCCGGCCACACCTGTCTGTGGACACTGCCTGGCCTACCTTGTGGCTGTCGTGAAATATGAGCACGAATGTCCCCGAGCACCATTCTTCCCGCTGTCTCATGCTGCTCCTCTCTCTGCTGGGCCCAGTTACGGGACCCACTGCTCCGCCTGCAGAACAAAACGGGAGGGGGGGGTCGGCACCCACTGCCGCTGTCACACAGGGCTCTGCAACCGACCGAGGAACCGGGCGGGACTGTGGATGTGGGGCTGGAAGGAGCCTCCCACCTGCAGACTCCTGTGGGTGCCACTCCCATGTGTCGGCAGCAGCAGGGTCCTGATCCGGAAACCCTGCTGGACCCACGTGCTCCGGAGAAGCCGTGGTCGGAAGGCCTTGAGTTCAAGGCCGCCGTGGGTCACAGCGCCTGCACGCTCTCAGTCCCTGTGTCCTGTGTAGGTGGGAAGCAGGAGTTCCCTCTTCTGCCTTGGCGTGTGGGGGGCCTGACACAGGGCTTCCTGTCGCAGGGACTAGGTCGTTAGGGTCTTCAAATGATGCGATTTCAGCCCCGGGAGGAAGTCCGGTGCGGTTTCCTAGCCTTGGACTGTTGCTCACTTGCATTGCCAGGTAGCTGGTCCATTATGCAGCCACCTGAACTTCTGGGGAAGGGGGAGGTACACATGTCAGGTCTTTTTCACCCTGGAGGCTTGGGGGACAGGGAGCCAGACCGAGGGGAGAGGCCCCAACCGCGCGGGTCTTCGCAGGCTCGCTTAGTCGCTGGCAGCCCTGGCTGGTGGCTCCTGGTGCTGAGCACAGGCGGGTGTTCTCTCTCCTGCTGCCCACGCACATGGGCTGGCGGCTGCAGGAGCCCCTGTCCAACAGCAGGGGGGTGGGGCGCTCTCATCCCACCAGGGGGAGTTGCCGCTGAGCTGTGTGGCCAGACAGTGGGTTCACCTCTGTTTCTCTCCCAGCTTTGACCACAGCTTGGTGAGAAGGAAGCCGGCAGTGAGGTGAAAGCCATCTTGGGGGGGTGGTGTGCCCGTGCGCCCGTGTGCCCGTGTGTTTAACCACTGCTGTTCCATGGGCGCTGGGTACCGCTGCATGGCGGATGATCCTGTCCTCTCTCTCCCCCGCCCTCCCTCTCTCCGCCCCGCCCCCTCCCCCGCCTCCCTTCCCTGCGCTGCTCCCTCCGCCTCCAGTTTGTAATCCGACACAGTAGACTGCAGTCCTCGCCTTCGCAGTGAAGCTCCGAGTCTGGCCCTGCTGCCTGGAAGGTAGGCTGAGATTTGTTTTTCTCCTAAAAATAGCCTCCGTTCCCTCACCTTCCCCACCAAGCTGCAGGGCGGCGGTGATGGCAGGGCCGCGGCAGAAACTGCGCCCTGACAAAGTTCTTCTCCAGCGGCTTCGGAATGCCCTTCAGCAGGGGTCCAGGAAGCCCGTGGGTGGGCGAGGGCGGTTGAGGGTGCAGGAGAGAAGGAGGGGGCGTCCCCAGACCAGCCTCCTGTCTGGCTGGATGGGGCTGTCTAGTCTCCCCCTACAGATGGATGGCTCCCTTTCCTAAGGGCAAGGCTGACCAGTTCCTCTGTCTGTGGGGGGGCCCTTCTTCTCTCCAGCCCCCAGCTTTGCAGAAGAGCCCCTCAGGGCCAGCTTTCACACCAGGCCAGGCAACCGATGCCTTCCGGAACCCAGGCTGGGTTGTCTGATTGTCTCTGATGGGAGCCTTGGGGGCTGTGGACCGGGTCTTCCTGCAGGTTGAGGCTTGGAGTGGGGAAGGGGATGTGGTCCCCAAGTCTGAGAGCGGGCTGCCACATCCCCAGCGTGGCACAGATGTGGAAGGCACAGACGAGCGACTGGCGCGTTGAGATTTGTCAGTTCACGTCTCCTAGACTGACTTGAATAATTTGTTTGTCAAAACAGATGCTCGCGGCAGCGAGTGCGTGCGAGCCTGTGTGCCCGTGTGCACGCAGCAGGCCCCCCCCCCCCGCAGGCTGCGTTTTCCCCTGGAGATGCGGTGTTTGTGGGACCACTTGCCCAGAGGGAAGTTGAGGTTGGGGGAGCCTGGGGTGGGGGCAAGGGGGAGCCTGAGGCCTCTGTAGAGGCAGGTTTGCTCCTGTCCCCCGGGAGCCCACCCCGGCTGTCCCGTCACCATGGTCACTGTCGAGGGGGCTGAGGTCTGGGGAGAGGGGGCTCACTGCCTGTCATTAGGCAGAGGGGTGGAGGGGCCGCGGGGCCCCCTCAGGGTGGAGGGCAGGGGCTGCCCAGACCCCTGGGGAGGGCAGGGTGCCAGGCCCAAGCTGGCCTGTCCCGTATCACCCCCTGTCCTGGAGGAGACCCCACCGTGCTAAGGGAAGACCAAGGGCGCAGATGGGAGCAGCGGGGGTGGAGTGAGCGCTCCCTGAGAGTGGGAGACCAGATGGAAGGGGAGGCTGGTGGGCCCAGCAGCTGCTGTGGCTGGGGTGGTGTGGGGGCGGGCGGAGCCTGGAGCCCCTCCCTCTGGGCCCAGTTTCTGAACCTGGGTGAGTGGGGCACCAGCAGGAGGGGCATACTTCCAGCGGCACGGTGCGCAGGGGGGCCTCTGGGAAGTTGCTGCCCCCGCCCCAGGTGCAGTCCTGCTGGAATGGCCTGGCCTGGCCGCTGGCGCCCGAGGACTGGGTTTCTCGGAGTGTTGTGTGGGCTCCTGTGACGGGAGGGCCAGCGGGCGTGATGCAGCTTCAGCGTGGGGCCAGGGCGTGGGAGGACGGCAGGTGGGGGCACCTGGGGTGTGGAGGGACTGGGCCGTGCCCTGGGGTCCAGGGCTGCCATCGAGCCCTGGACTTGGGACACAGAGCAGAGCATGTCGAGGTTATTCAGGCAAGTGGCTGGCGGCTGATGTTACCACCCCCACTCGCTTCTGAGAAGACGACGAACTGGGTCAGGGAAGGCTGGCGTTGCCAGGGTGCCGGGAAGGTGTCTGGGCCGGAGGGTGTACCCCGACCCTGGCCGGAGGCCTTCGTGTCTGGCTCACCCCAGAGCATGTGGGCACTCGGCCACAGCAAACCGGGTGTGGGCGTGGGCCGTGGCACACCTTCCCGGGTGCGGGGGTGCGGTGCAGATTGGGCTGAGAACTCCTAGCAATTAAGAGAAAGGGCAGCAAAGCAATTCAGCCCTTTTCCCACAGGCGGATTGCTCACTGCTTTTGCTCCCGCGTGTTTGGCGATGGGGAGGGGACAGCTGTGCTGACCGGGACGCGGAGAGGGACGGTCAGAGAGGCTGTGCCCTGAGGCTGCCTCGGGTCCCTCCTTGGCGTTTTTTGGAGCAGTTGTTCTCTGTCCTCAGGTGAACGCACAGTCTGAGCAGTTTGGGGCCCCAGGGTTCGTTCCACTCAGTTCTTGGGGTGCCAACGCCGCTGATCCGGGGACCCACCTCGAGAACTACTGGGTTAGTGGCCGAGCATCTCGGGGAGGTGTGTCCTCTGCTCTGAGTGTTTGGTTGAGGGTTGCAGGTGAAGCCTGGTCCATCGCAGGCGGGTCCGAGGCGCCCGTGCCGGGAGCCTTCCCGTGGAGCCCCGCCAGCCGCGGCCGCTCCCCGGAGGAGGGTTCTCCCGCCTCACTCTCTCAGGTCTCCCACGTCTGTGGGAGGCTCTCGGAGCCAGAGAGGGACTGGTCCGGCTGTCCTTGTCTGTTGTGGATGAAGTGGAGTTGCCGACACCAACTTCTAGAAAATTCTGTTCTGTGTTTCTCTGGGTCCTTTACAGTTGGGTACTTACATCCCACAACCTGTGCTTCTGCAGCTTTGCGTCTTGCCCCGCCCGTTGGAGAAGCCGTCTGGTCTCATCAGGGAGCCAGCTGCCCAGCACGCGGGCCTGTCCTGGTCCGGCGGGGCCGCCCGGCACAGCCCGAGCTGCGGTGGGGTTCAGCCACTGTGCAGCCCTGCCCGCCGCCTCTCTTGTCCCGCCTCTCCTCCCTCCTTGTCCCTCCCTGCCTCCCTCCCTCCCTCCTTCCTTCCTTCCTTCCTTCCTTCCTTCCTTCCTTCCTTCCTTCTTTCCTTCCTTCCTTCCTTCCTCCCCACTCCCCTGGCCTCGTTATCCCTGTGTCTTCTCTTTTACCCCATCCCCACCCCGTGTGCCTTCTCTGTCACTGGCAGCCCCTTCAGACGTGTCCACTGTGTGGTCTTGAACTTCGTGTTTGCCCGACACTGGTGCTGTCACAGCCTCCACCGTCCGAGGAGCAGGAAGCCTGTCCAGCTGCTCTGCCCTCACACAGGCCTGGGTCTCACGGTCCAGCCTGGTGGCCACATGTGCTTCTCAGGGTGACTCCCGCTGCTGCATGGCGTCCCAGCATGTCCACGGCCATGCTGTGGCTTCCGGTCCCCGTGAGGCCCTGACGGCCACACGAGCGCCACAGCAGGCACTTGCAGGCATCCCTCGGTTCCGCACAGGATCCAGCTGGGCCTCGTGGGGGTGTGGCTGCTTCCTCTGGGTGGGGCCTTCCCGAGGGTTCTCCAGAGGGCTCACCTGGCCCACCTTTCCAGTGTCTGTGCACCTCACCTGAGCTGTGCAGGCCTGCGGTCCCCCCACCCCCAAGGACGGTGGGGACTGGGCCTGAAATCCCTGCTATTCTGAACCTGTGGCTCTGTGTAGGGCACAGTGGGGACAGGCGGGAGCCCAGGAGGCAGGGACGAGGGAGGGGCACGCGTGGTCCTCAGTCACTTCTCACGGGCGTTGCCTGCCTGTGTGCAGGGCCTACACCTTTGAGAATGAAGTGTGACTTTGGGGGTCGCCTGGGGACAGTCTGGCCCAGCCTCACAGTGAGAGTCTCAAGTTAACCTTGGTTTGTGAAACCGCGTGTTCGGTCCCTGAGGACCATGGAGAACACTTGAAGAAGGCCTTCCTCACACAATTAGCTGTTCGGTCAGTTTTCCCCGCCGGAGGAGAGCCCCTGGCAGGCGCGGCTGTGGCTTGTTACCTGTGCCTTACTCACTTGCTTAGCCCACACCTGAGCATGGCGACGCTGAGGGCATTTTGGGTGCTGGCACCGAGCGGCAGACAAGACAGACGAGGTCCCTGCTCTCGTGGTGATGACTGTCATGTGTGTCTGTTAGGTGGCAAGCAGGTGAATAAATAACAGACTGGGGTAGTGCCACTCCCAGGGTTAAGCAGCCTGATTCGAGGGACTGTGACCTCCTGGAAGGCCCCCTGGAGGAGGTGACATTTCAGCTGCACCATGAGGGATGACAGTGGTCAGGTGGGTAGGCGCCAGTGCAAAGTCCCTGACTGTGTGAAGGGAGGAAGCTGCTCTCCGGCCTCAGTTCTCATTGACTGATGTGCTGAGGTGCTGGTGGGGGGTTTTTGGAGCATAACAGGGGCTGGGGTTCCCAGCCCTTCACCCCTGGACCCTCAGCCTCAGCTGTGAGCCCCCAGGAGCATGTGGACACCAGAGAGTAGGTGCCCTTTGTCAGCTGCATCCTTGGCAGGCCATGGGGGTTCCTCTGTCCGAGGTGCCCGGGTTCCCACTTCCCCCATCAGCCCCCACCTGGCTCCTCACCCCAGCTCCCCACCGCAGCCCAGGGCCACTATGGGGAAAACCCACCATTCCGCTTTTGGAATAGAGGCCTTTCTCGTGGGACTTGGAGGTGTTGCCTCATCTGCGGTGGGACTTTGGTGAGATTCCCTCTGATCTGATGAGACAGACGTGCCTGGTGCCAAAACCCCGCGTGTGTGGTGATGACAGTCCTCAGCACTGGCGGCTGCAGCTGGCTCCGGAGCCCTTTCTGCCCTGGGTTGCTAATGGGTATTATTACTCATTGTTTCCAGGCCTGGGGAACGCTCCCCACCACGTGGCTACATTGTTACCTTAGGTAGGAGATGCAGTAGGGCCACAGATGTACCTGCTTCTTTGTTTCTGCCCCCACCGCCAACGCCACCCCAGGAGGAGGCGGAGGATGTAACATTTGCACTGTTGGAGAGTTCCAGGTCTTTAAGGAGCTGAGTTTCCCTGCCCCCTGACCCTGCCCCCACGCGAAGCTCTACGCCGGGGACCCGTCTGGGGCTGGGGACAACAGGTGAGCTTGGAGCTGGGCCGGGCTCTGCTTCCATCGTGCTTGGGGCGGGGGTGGCTGACACCCAAACCCCACAGACAGTCCCGCCCCAGCCCACGGCATGGGCTGTGCCTCTGGAACCCGTTTTTTCTTTTTCTTTTAATGTCAGCCTTTAGGGTTTTTTTTAAAAATATTTTTACTTTTTATTTATTTACTTTTAGGGAGAGGGGAAGGGAGGGAGAAAGAGAGGGAGAGAAAC